TGAAACTGAAGTGAGTCAGCAGCTGGTTGTCTGAAATGCTTGGCAACACCACACTTCAAAATCAAGCCAATCAGGCCAATCAAGCCACAGTCAACAAAATCTTCTAAGGGCTCAGCCACCTGCCACTGGAGGTATGGGCCACCAGCTGCCAGGGCACTGGTGGCGCAGGAGGGCGATCGCGCATGAGCACACTAGGCCTCGTAGAACATTTGGCACATAATTATTTGTTCAGTCGATGCACCTTGCTACTAGTAGCAAGAAGCAACTAGTAACAAGGCACCTTACTACTGCTAACAAGAAGCTACTAGTAGCTCCTGGCATTACTACTAGTAGCAGTTTCTTTAACCAAAACTCCGAAGGTCTAAGGACACCGCAGCTCCCAAGAGGTGACATTGGTCACCTCAAACAATCCACCCCAAGTGTTTTGAATCATCCTAACTTCTTGCCAACCTCGTTGTGGTAGTACCAACGACCTCGCCATGACTAATCCCTACATAATGGCCGTCTTTCCTTGTTGGGCATGTTGTCTTGAAAGAAAACGCGAGCCTGTGTCGATGTCGAGATAGCATTTCCAAGGTGCCGGCGGATTAGGTCTGCAACGAGATCTACACTGAAAAGACCAAAGGTAGAGTTTACACAAGTTATCCATCAAAAAAAGCAAGAGAGCAAACATGAAATGAAACCCAGTGTCTCCTGGCAGTCCTCTGCTTCTTGGCTTTCTTCAATCTTACCCTCCTTTTGCAAAACAGTTTTGGATTGCTGTTTGTCATTCTGGACTATCCAACCGTCAACCAACCAATCAGTCGCGCACGCAACAAGAAAGCAGCCTGCTAGTATCTGACCCACACCAGTTTCACAACAACCAAGCCAATCGCGACAACAGTGACACACCTGCAAAAACGAACAACAAATCTGCTGCGGACCAGTTCGAAAACTATCAGCTATATATTATATATTGCGTAAGTATATTATTTACATGTATAACTGTATAACTATGTAAGCTTGCATCTGATACTCGAAGAACATCTTGCATTATATAATGGTTTGTAATACAGTAATACAGGCCATCTCTGGTTTGCAAACTATTGATATCTTGCCATCAAGGCGCTACGCCGCAAAGACAAAACAAGAGTCTAGTCATGCACCAGTGATCCTTGCGACGGCTATGTTGCGTCCACTAGTCACTATGTGGGTCGTTGGCTTTAAAAATTGTTTCAAAACATCTTCACTTCAGCGAAGCTGCCAACAGCTGCGGGTGCCAAAAATGTTCTCCTTACCTCTCCTGTGCCAAGCCTTCGCTAGGTTCATTGTCCACGGTGCGCACACTGACCATTGAGAGGGCTTCAACAACCAAGTCGGGCAAAACGGCAACTTGCGCCGGGCAACTCTTCAGAACTAGCCTCAAATTATCATCCAGTCCAAGTCCGTGAATGGCTTTACCTGCTTCTACTCCTCTTCCGGCTGCTACTACTACACAAATGTAGTTTGATCGAAACAAACTCCTATATTGAACCCTAAATATTGATCGCCCCACGAATTTGTGTGGTCAGAGCCAAACGCAAAAACCCAAAAAATGGACCTATTGGCGACCTAACACAACATCTCAGTACTCACGAAATACTCCTGACCAGCAAAGAAAAAGCACACACTGGCGGCTTTGTTCATTTATATAAAGAGAGCTCGGCTCGTCTGCCGTTAAGTTTCAAAAAAGAATCAACTGCGAGTGGATGAAGCAAGGGGCCTGGTCATCTGCTCTTGTTGGCGCCTCAGTGACTCTACCATCAGGTCCTCCTGACCTCAGGAGCTCATTCATCCAACAATCGCCAGTCCAAGTTGGTAAGCTATCGACTTGGAGCTTGGTTACTAAGTTCCTCCTGAAGCTGTCGAAGGTCCTGATCCGAAGCTGTTGAAGCTGGCACCCAAGATTCTTAATCTGAGATCTGAAGCGCTCCTCCGCTTCTTGGCGCCGTAGCTCTGCAATTTCCTCATCGATTTGCTCTGCCTGCAATGCTCACAGCTTTGCGTTCTTCAATGCTCTTCATGTTGTGACCTTGATCTCTTCGCCTGTGACTTCTCTGAACTGAAGAGACGCTGGAGAAGCGACAATGCCTCAAAGCACAATGTACACTGTCATACTTATCCGTTGCAATAAACTCCTAAGCAACACACTGCTAGCTTCACGGACTTGTGACCACTTCGAGTCACCTGCAAATTCAATAGAATCGGGATCATTTGCACCGCTCGCATGGTGCTCCGATCGCGAGGCCTTCAGAAAAAGTGGGCTCAAAGCGCACAAAGCCCGCTGAGTTCTTCCAAAGTTCAGCTGCCTAAGTTTGACGCAGAGTCCAACCCGGCCAGCGTCTGAGGGATCAAAAACAATGATAATGATGAAAAACATTGTTTTAGGAGATCCTAAAGAAAATTGACAAGGATCGAACAAATATTCCTGAACGGCTTGTATTTACAGCACTCTGGGGCAGCCAAGAAAGGAGGCGTACGGCGTAAGGTTTGTGAAAATTTTCACCGCAGGGTGGGCCCACAAAACAGCAAGGTTTGACAGGCTCTCGCTTGATGCACATAAGGTTTCAATGGTTTCCACCCTGTTCAAAATTGAACCTGCACCTGGCCCGCCAAAAGGTGCGTGAGGTTTGAATAACTCCTTATTGCCCCGAGATTTAGCCTGGTGTGGCCCAAAACAGGGTGTGCAAGGATTTTCTCCTGAGGGGCCACAAAAGAGGTGTGCAAAAATCTGAGAGGTTCTCATGGGCGGAAGGTTCACAAGAAAACGTGTACAAACGGTGAATGGTTTGTTCTAGCTCTAAGTTGTTGGTCAACAAATCGATGTGTAAAGTGTAAAGCTGTAATAATTACAGTACTATTCACGTTTGCTTCAAATTTGATCTTCACGTGGCCAACACCGGCTGTGTAAGGTCTCTTCTAAACTTTCCCTAGGGTAGGGACCACAACAGGACTTGCCAGGTCTAATTCAAATTTTACCTTTGCCCTGGAAACCATGGGCCACATAGAAATGAACCGGACAACCCCGCATGACTAGCTTTTACTCAGCTCCGAAACAGAAGAGAGAGTGTCCGGAAAGAACAGCGGGAAAGAAGAGACGGAGTGAGTGGTTGAGCAGTCTATGTGTGTGTGTGTGCTCGTTGGTGTGAGTGCGCCCTTGTGAGCGAGTAAGTGTGGATAGCGCGTATGTTTGTGTGATTTGGTGTGTGTGTGTGTGTAGAACCCTTGGACTCAAAGGGTGCCTTTTGGTCTTCTAAATGGCAAGGGGACCAGGCATCTTGCTGCTGACCTGGTCTAACAAAGCTAGGCAGCAAGATGGGAGTTGGCCACCCCACCGTACCTGCCACCCGTTTCACTCAGACTTGTGTTTTGAATTTGTGTCTTGTGAACTTGTAGCGATGGCCTCCAACCAGTGCGATGGCCTCCAACGTACTAGTGACGGCCTCTAATTTTGAGCTTTGCTCTTGTACTTGTAATTTTGAATCTTGTGCGCTTCGTTGGCCTCCAACCTGGTAACAAGGGCCCCCAACCTTGTCGCGTTGGACTCCAACCTACTAGTGATGACTTTGTCGTTTCTTGCAGTGTTCGTCTTGCTTTGCATGTAACCGACCTACTAGCGATGGCCTCTAACCCAACCCAACCCAACCCACATAGATACGTGGTTGATAATTTCATTGATAATGTATATAACTGCGCAACCAACAACAACAAAAAGCGCACACAAACACTTGCAAAACGACCAGAATTCTACTTTGCAACGTTAACCCTCTCCTTAGTGGCCCTGCGGGTACTTCTCACTTCCACCCCTCGTAGAACTTGCAAACAGTAACAACGCCCCGCGCTCCGGGAGGCGCTCCCAAGCTTCGTACTCTTTGAAAAAATATACGTGTTGTGATGATGCAGTGTGTGATGTGCGATGGAATGAGGTGCGATATGTGATGATGTGTGTGTGTGTTGTTCAAGCTTGCTTCTCGACGCTCATCGATTTTCTTGTTGATGCTTATCAACGCGCTGACGCCTATCCCGGCCATCACACAAACAAACCGGAGCCGTATAAGGCCCTGGCCAAGAAGAAGTTGCTCGCCGGTCAACTCGAACCGGCCTCGGTCGTTCAAGCATTCTTTCAAAACTCTCTATATGGCTTTTCCAAGCATGGAGCCACAGTTGCGATGTGCTTGGAGGTCGGAGAGGGATGGCATGGGCCTGCAATTTAGTAGCTACCCCTGCAAACATTCCCAATCAGTCACACGCTGATCAAGGCCAGCTTGACATGACTCAGCACTTTCAAGAAGGAAGGACGGTCTCTCAAGGCTTGGATATACCTGCAAACACCAATGCCACGAACGCCACCAACGCCAACGCCAGGTCTTTTTTCATCGCGAAGACAGTCGCGAGAATGCTGACTCAGAGGTGGTAGCCTCGGCCTGTCACTCAGAAAAAGACTCCATTAAGTATGTCGTAGTTCATCAGCTCTACAATACAAGTAGAAAAAGCACAACAGCTGGGCATGAACTTGCTGATTGAGCAATGGCAACGCATGGCACGTGTTAAAAACGTTTGCAAGGTTAGTAACAAGTGGTATGTGTTTGTTGGAAACTGCTGCTTGCAAAAATTGAGCCTTTTAAATGTGCCACGCGGGCAATACTAACACAGCAAAACGGCACTGTAGCACATGTGCCCACATAAGTGCAAGCATGACAACACCGCAAAAGCAAAAACCGGAAAACCTTTTCCGGTCCCGGCTTTGGAGCCCACTAGCAAGTGAGCCCGACAGCATGAACGGATTTCCCCATCTCAGCGTGACAGTGTGTTAGCGGGACCTGCTCCGATCTGCTCCAAAGTCTTTACTATGGCTCAAGACCCGTAAGCTTCGCAGTTGGAAAAGAAAGCGTACATTGCAGTGCATGTATGTGTTAATTGATATACGTATAAACATGTGTAACATGGATGTAAATGTTAAGTGCTTTGCTCATTTAAAAAGTTCACAAACATTTGCTCCACTGCTCCAGAGCCTGTGAAGGCCTGGAATTGATCTGGACGTCTGGCCTTCGAAGGAAGGACATGGATGAATGAACAAACATGGTGGGAGCAATATGCCATCTTTCCTTGGTCCCACAAGCCTCTCCATCATAAGAGATGTCCACTGACGGAGGCATCAAGAGTCGGCTCTCCTGGAAAAAAATAAACTCAAACGAAATATGAAGATCCTTTTAGATGTGAACCTCGCAACGTGATTTAGTAGGCATTCAGCAAAACCTGTGCTCTGCACTACCAAGATTGAAACAAAACAAGGGCAAAGGCCTAAGGCTAGGGAACTCCATCCTGCTCTGATGCTTCTATGTAAATTGCGGCTGCAAGGGAAGCCTCACAGGGGAACGAGTTGCGAAAAATTGATTAGCCTGACAAGATTCCCCTTCATTCACTTTCCCAAAACAAGCTTGCAACTGCCACCCACTTGCATGCAGGTAGCAGCTGCCAGCTCCACCAATGGGCACGTCATACAGACTAGTGAGGCTGCATTGAAGACAGCCGGTGCTTGCCTGGCATCACCGGACCGGTGCTTGACTGAAACGTGATCGGTTGCTGTGGCTTCACCGTCTCGCCTTGAGAACAACGGATACTTCACGTGAATAGCTCTCTCCAGAAAGAGGATCGCATCAAAAATGCCGTTGACCAAGCACATCAGTCCTTTGTGCCAAAGGATCAGGTAGAAGAGGCAGGAAGAATACCATTAGCTATGTTTCTGTACATGCTTGAAGGTTGCGTCATTGATAGATATCAAAGGTAGATAAGGCAACCAAATGATGTAAGAAATGCAAAGTAGACTGCTTGCATCATTAGCATCAAGCATGTTTGAAAATGTTGCAAGAGCAAAAACAGGCGCACTCAGTGTTATGAAAACTATTGAATTCGCCGAAATGAGAAGATGTTGAACATCATCCTGCCAAGTCTTGCGAACAGTATACGCACATTCAAAGTGATGATTGTTTTCTTCTAACCTCTCCAAGGATCCATAATACAAGCAATAGCCAGTGTCGATGCCTTTGCACACAAAGAACGTCGATGCATGTCCAACAAGAAACAAGAACTCCTAGCCTGCCCCGGTCGATAGAACGAAGGTGCCGAGCGTGAGGATCAAGAGCGAAAGGAGCGCGCCCCAAACATCCAGTATCAGAAACCTGGCAAGTGTGAGCAAGGGATGCTACTAGGGGCTCCTGGCCTTACTACTAGGAGCAAGAAGCTACTGGTAACAAAGGGCATCGCTACTAGGATCAAGGACGCTACTGGGGTTTCTCTGTTCTGTAAAATTCTGGGGGGGTAGGCCGCAAGGAGGTAAGCTACTAAGTGATAGCTTTTTAGGCTTGGACGCACAGGAGTTCAGTAGTAATGACTTGGCTCGTTTAGGGAAACTTATATAATGCTGCAAATGATAGCCTCGCCACCATCAGTGCAGCTTGTGCCTTGACAATACAAAGGCGGGGCAATACCCTGCAAGAGAAACTCTGCAAGCGTTGCCGAGGACCTTCTGCAGTTCGTCTCTTACAAACATGACTGGCCCAGCTGGTGCAGCTGGCTGAGTCCAGCACCGCGAGCAAACCCATGAAGTATGGCCTTGCTTTGAGTGCAAAGCGCGTCGGCGGCAGGGTGATGGTCCCTGCATGTGGCAAAACCATCGACCTGCGTCAAAGAACACTGAAGCAGTCACCGAAATGCCATAATCACAATAAGTATTTGGTGCACTTCCTGTTGATGTTCTTCTTCGATTTAGCATGATTTAGCACTGCCCTTTGGTGCAGGTCATGCCTGTGTGGACACCTTGCTGCAGCTTCTTTGCAACCTACGGAAGTCTTCGGCTCAGTTCAGTCAAAATAGGAGTTGATAGGAAACTGCAACACTACCTCAATTCAAGAACACAAATCATAACCAATTCGTTTGCAAGCTCTAACTCAGCTTGGTTTCAAGTTTGGAATCAAAGAGTACTGCAGCCAAGTGACGGGATAGGGGGTTGCTCAGGTCACCCTGGCACCCCCTTGAGCCATGGTGGCTGAGATCAAAAGTCACCCCAAAAACGTCAGGTTCATGTCATGAGAAGATTGTTGTAGCCGCTTTGCACCGAAATTTCATTCATGTCTGTGCCATGCAATTGTGGCCATCCAAAATGAATGTCTCCATCACACCAAAGTTCACTGCGCTGCCTGGAACGCCATGCTGAGCAAAGTGAAAGCCAAAATGATTTTGAAACACAAAATCTTTGGTGGTCACTGAATCCATATCAAAAGCAAAAAAATTGTGGACGTAAAACGAAAAATGGGAACACTGGATGACTGGAAAAGAATGCCAAGCGCGGTTCCATCATCTTGGGCCAGAAATGGTCCGCAAAAGGATCATGCTTGTTCAATAGCTGCTAGCTGCTGTCCGAGCAATCATTTGGCGGTTTTTAAGATGTCACTGACGGGAACCATCACAATGTTGCTGGTGCTGGAACCAAAAATGACAATGTAATACGTTCTTCCGAGAAGAGATCCCAAACGCTTGATCTCTTCATGAGAAAGCACCCAAAATTCCCAAACGTTGTTTGTTTCATGCGCAAAAACATAAAAACATGAAGGAAAGAATCTATAAGATTGAAAAATTGAAGATTGATCAGGAAGGAAAAGGAGAGGAAGAAGAAAGAACGAAGGATGACCACAGCTGTGAGGAGTCACGTTTATGACATTGTATGTTTGTACATGTTCGACCTGACCGCAAACCAAAAAGCAGTTTTCCAACTTGGTATTAAATGCGAAGCAAATGCCAAACAAATCGCAGAACCCCTGACAAAAAAACGGCAAGTCATTATCATCACCCAAGCCCATTCATTATCCCAGCTTTGCAACACAACATCCAGTACAAACTCAATTGATGCATTCCAACTTTGTGCTGCTGAAACTCCAAAGCCGAACCCGCAGAGAACCCCAGAGCAAAAGCTGTCGAGCACGACGTGAAAGTTTGACACAAAAACTCACGAAAAAGAAAACCTTCCTCGCAAGCTTTCAGTGTGAAAAACCGTCTTGTAAGTCAAATGTATGCACGACGACCGAACCGAAAAGAAAGAAACAAATGAAAAAAACACTCGCAACCCGTCTTTCCTGCCGCACACGTGAGCCAAATACGTTACAGTCGTAACAAACTTGTACAAGACTCAAGACTTAGGGACATGTCTCCCAAACGTTCCGAACTGTTCGGTAAACATGTTAAAGCATCAAACGTGCTCTCCAGACTGTTGCTACTCCATTTGCTTCTCTACAAGCACATTGGCCTCTCAGGCCTCAAGGAAACTTCGAACTGGTTCGATCTGACTATATACACAAAGCTCACGCACATTCTAAAAACATGGTATGGAGGCTTCACTATCCAGCTAGCTGCAGCTAGCTACTTCCCCTTTCGAAGTCTACATGCCATCAAGCACTTTGAGTTGAAGCACAGTGCTAACACTGTCGGAAAGTGACAACTTTCGCTCTGTTCTTGAGGTGTTGACAGGTCCTCTTTGTGTGGAACCTCGTCCCACAAGCGGTCATGAACACTTCGCTCACATTCACTTCAGCTGCACAACCAAGCCGCCCGACTGGCCAGTCAAAGTTGACCTGATCTGATTGGCCACGCCTTTGCAAACACAAAGCAATATCCCGGGCATGAGGATCACCTGCTTCTGTCGCTCGAAATGTGGTCAACTCATCCAGGCCTATTCACCAAGCCAGGAATATTGTCAGCAACTTCGGTTTTTTTGCACGGGTGGAGACGCCATGTGTGCAGAGAATGCACAGGTCATCTTGTGCTACTTGTGAGTTAGTCTTCGGCCAGGAAAAGAAAACCACACAAAACAACACCACCAACCAGCCCAACACACCCAACAAACAACAAACCAAAGAAACCCGGCCGGTCACAAGACTCAAGTGGGTCGTGCAGAGGTGAAACGAAGAGAGATTCAGGTGAGACGGACTTGGGGCGCCGAATTATGCAAAAAGGCCTCTCAGTACATGTTGCGAAGGCTCAAAGGTCGGGAGTTTGCTTGTGTAGGGAGTGCATTTGTGCACTTGCGCACTTTCTTTTGCGCTCAGCGCGTGGCCTGCATGCCCAGGCCTTGCATCTATGTTTGCACAACAAAGGTTTCGAGAGGTATCGGCATTCCGACAGGCAAAGATCACTGGTTGCAGATTGAGTATAGTAGGCATGTGTGCATTGGAAAACCACTGCGAGGAAGGCCCAGTCGCGCCAAACAAGAAGGCCCTTCATTGTCAGCAGTGTGACCTACTATGGGTGATGTCTTGCTCTGTCGAAGATTCACGTATGATGTGAAATGGTTGACAGCCAAGCACCACTCGGATGCGCACCATGCACACATGCATGAATGCAGCCCCCCTCCACAGGGGGAGGGGAGCAGAGCGAAATGGCAACCTTGCGGCGGTGTATCTCAAACAGCTTTGCAAGGAGAGGGAACACGAGGAAGCAAGGTGGTGGCCACCTCAAGTATTCAAGTGTTCAAGTATTCGAGTTCAAACTGCGTGTTAGTCACGAGTGGTTACTTTGGTGAAGCATGCAAGGCCCCGATTCTACTGTGAAACAAGGTGAAACTAAGCCGAACTACACCGAAAACACTGTACTCGCCTCCAGGACAAGGACTGAGGTCCTCGCCTGTAATATGGCGTGGTGTATGTACATGTCTGTACAAGTCGAAGGCTCTCGTGGTGGATGCTCTGTTGGTCCTCAGAAGAGAGGTTTCTGCCCATCACAAGTGTCAAAGTCTTCTCCATCCGGAGGGAGAAGATTGATCCAGTTTGGGATTGCAAAGTGAGTGCACAACGCGAAGGTGTTGCTTTCTGCATAAGGCCCTCGCCAAGTGGTTGGCCTGCTCATCTGTGTAAATCGAGCGAGTTGTCCGCAGTCGAAGAAAGCTCTGTGAGCTATGTATTGAAGTGTCGGTGGGATACGCACTTCCTGAGGGGCAGTGCAAAACATGAAAGCCTCTTTGCCCATGCGCCTCAACTTGAGTGGAAGCCAAATGTGTTCAAGATTTACGCAATGCGAGAAAGTGGATCCCCATATGGCGTCAATCAGAGTACTGGACAGGTCAGCAAAAACAAGTTGCTTGCAATTTTCACAGGCTAGCGGCCCTAGGAAGTTAATGTCTGACGATGTTCGATGCCCGATGCACAGAAGCTTCCTTCTGGTTTCTCTCGAGGGAGCAATGAACCTGACTGCACGCTTGTTTCTTTAGTAGTCGGGGTAGCAAGTTGATTGGTCTCTTCTTCATTGACCCCTGTGTATCGAAGTGAGCAGCATTCTGCAAAGGCTCGACAACCAAAGTTCACGCACGCGGGGGCCACTGCTTGTGTCAGTGCGTAGCAACCTTGGCAGGCACCTTCTTTGATGCATACTGCAGCGGTGGGCAGCCTTACGAGTTGGAGCTGATGACAACTTTGCCATACTGCTGCTCCAATTGTGTGAACGCCAGTCTCGACTAACACATGCCTCAGGCGTGGGACTGAGTGAAAAGCATTGTCCGGAACACATCCAGTGTCATCTGCTGGAATTTGGATAGCTTGCAGGTAACTTGTTACCACCTTTTTGAAGTTGTCGTTTGTGCACAACGCTGACAAAGCAATTTCTGACCACTAAATTGAGCCGTGTGCAGTCACGCAGAAT